AAGGCTGTTGGTTTGTGGTCACAAATACTGTGAACCTTGCTTGACCAAGTGGCTAGAAGACCATGCAACCTGTCCAATCTGCCGCCAATCAGCTGACATACGTGAAGATGAAGGTGGTGCCTGCCATACCGATAACTTCCTCCCTGATCTTCAGTTCCGACTGATGATGTTACAGCAGCAGCACCCATCATTTGTTACACCCACCATGGTGGACAGATGGGGCAGCAGCAGTTACACAGGGAGTTTTATTTCTGATCCCATTTTTGTCAGGTCACCTATGGTTGGGGGAGGTAGCTTTGGCAGTGGTGCAGGGTTTGGTGGGGGTGGAAGTAGTGGAGGTGGTGGTCATGGAGGCAGCTGGTAACATGCATGGATATTTGATGAAGACTTTCACAAGCAAAGAACATACAGAGGGTACCTCAGTTTTAAATCCTGGAGTTCTTGTAGAGGGTCTCCATGCCTTTTTGTTTTTCCTCTTTCTACTAACTAAAGGTAAATTTTGTGTACACATTGTCATAAGGCTTATAATGATGATGATGACATTGATATCAGTTTCCAGGCTAGTGCAGCTCAGAATAAGTTGGCATGGACAGTTTTTCATTGCTGTACAATGTATATGTAAAACATGACTCAAATATGAGCTGAAAAAAATGTTATGTCTTCCGTGAGCGTCAGGTTACTGGTTCAAATATGGGTCAGGATTGGTTAAGTAAACTTAATGTGTCATGGCACTTCTAGGCTAAACTGAAAGGGATGTTATGCTTGATTTTATATGATATCTTGCATTCCCACAAGAGCCACAGTTAAAACTTTAGTGTTATTTGTAGTCTGCAGTAGCACTTTTATTTGCCATAAATAGTGGTCCGCAATCATCACATAGTATTCTATTGAGTGAGGAAAATAGAGGCCTAGTGTCATCAGATCAAAAAATCCTCAGTTTTGAATTTTAAGTCTGTTCATTCCATGATGTGCTGAATATTTCAAATTATGAAAATCAAAAGTTGATAACTTCTTATGATTAGAACTATTTGATTTATCCGTGGAACAGTTGTTCAGATTTTGAAATGTAAAGATAAACTAGTAGTTGGCACAAGCCCTTTAAACCAATAAAGACCACTAAGAGATGATTGAGCCGATGTATTCGTTTGGAGCCACATTTCAAATTATATAAATCGCAATTGTAAACAATTCGAACTCCTTTTGATATCAATGGAGGTCAACAAGATTGGAACAAGTTTTAGTCTGTCCTCTATATGTATTTTAGTTTCTTAAGGATAGTGGAAGGACGGCTTAAGATTTATTTTCTTTACATGCAGTAGACGTGAGCAATCCTGTAAAAAATCTACAGCGCTCCAATTAAAGAGATTTAAACCTCTCCATTTGCTGTCGTCGTCATATTTTAAGTAGAGTGTCTGAAGACAAAATGCTGTTGATGTTTGCCAAGGCTACGCCAATTTCTGTTCTATTTGTACCGTAACCCTCAAAAATGAAACCCACTTTGTACAAACTCGCCCGGTGAGCTATTCTTGTTATACTCCAAGGGTCGAGATGCTCGCTCCAGACCCCTTTCCTAAGGTGCAATCGTGGGATAGAGTGCTGGTAAACCCTGTAAGACCACGACCCCAGATTGTTCTGGTTCTGGCCGAGATAATAGGATTGTTATTATTGATCAAAGAGTGAAGATACAGAGTACTCACCACGGCGACACCTTGAAAAACTCAATCAAATCTGAACCTGATTTTGTCTCAAAAATTTAGGAGGTTATTCAAAGCGGCTGAACAAGCTAGTAGTACACGGGATGGTTATGACACATATATCTTGTGTATGGCTTGATTTGCCGGCATTTTGTCTGTACGTAGCAGAGAAGTTAGGGCATCTGAAGGTTTGTGTCTTCTTGGATGATATTAAAAAAGATACTGTGAGCTATTATCTTCTTGGAAGACAATAGCTCACCATTTGTGTCGGTGGTACAGTCATAGTCATTTGGATAGGAGACTGAATGAATCAAGGAAAGCTAAGGACAGAACAATTATCTTCATGGAACCAAATCTTTAAACTAACATGAAAGACAATTGGAGGCAACTAGTTAGAAGAATTAGTAATCACATCTTGGGAGTTAAAGGTTGGGTTTGGCGTGAAGTGACCTTCAGAGGCAAGAATACAAGTGTCTCTTCTTGTGCTTGTTTACAAAATACTATCAGTTATAATTAAGTGTTAAGACTCGATTTGAGTAACTTATTTCCGTTTTGTCTTTTTTTAATACTAGAATTGTGGTGAAGCGGTTCTATAAAGGAGCGGCCTCTCTTTCGGAGTCTTTCTCGAAAACCCGACAGTGAAGATTAGTTTCCTGTTAATACGCAAACAAATCATTCTAGAAGAAATCATGGGATTTTTTAATTATCATGTTATGAGGGTCACGAAGGAAACAAACGAATTAGCTCGAAAGAAGGTCAAGGATGAAAACACAATATCATATGCTAACATAAAGAATTGAGGAAATAAGGGAAACCAGAAGCTGATACGGTTGTTCTAAGGAAAGAACAAACGAGTATTAAAGTTGAGATTATGAATTTGCAAATAATCTCTTCCTTACCGCTGAAAGATATGTTTATCTGACTAATTATCGGATTAAACAGTATTCTTATCAATGAAAGGTCTTTCCTTGTTCAAGAACTTGCAGTTTTAGCTGTACTTATACGGTTCGAATTTTGATATTGGTCAGTAACACACGTTTGCAGGCCACGAGGAAAAGTGACTGCGAGAACAGTAGTTTGCCCAGCTTATGTGAAACATTACACTCTTATCACTATTTCTTTCTTTTTCCTTCTTTGTATAGAAAATCCTATCAGCTTAATAGCTGTAGACTTGATTGCTATTCCGATGAAGTTTTTTCCTTCGCGTTCGATGAAAGGAATTGAATTTAATGGACGTGTGAGGGAAATGGATCTCATTCAATTTGATCGAAAACTTTAATTTCATTTCCCTTTTTCATTAATTTAGCGGTGGATTTTTCAGAGATCTGCGATCGTTTCTAAAGAGACTAGGCTGCCTCAGGTTATGGAGTTGTTTGTTTTCTTAGAAAGATTCAACACAAATAAATTTTGCATGGGAATATCATTGGCGGAACTTGCTAAAACTCCATTAAAAACGATATCTAAAATTCCCTTTCATTCAAAATTTATCGGGCGTTCATTCTTTTCTTGTTTTGACATTGTAGGAACACAATACTCACATACATGTTTTGGAAACAATTTCGCATCATTTCGCTTTATTAACAATCCATAACCGCCGCAATATCACTTGTTTGAACAATTTGTAAAGATCTCTGAGTTCAACCTGCTGTCACAGAGTAATTAGTCTCTTTGACAAAGATTTTAAGTAATTTAAAAATCTTACAACAAATATTAACCTTAAGTTTTACGACAGCACTTCTTAGATCTGGAATATTACATGAAATGCGGCGAACATTTTCAATATCAATGTTTAAGTCATGCTGGAAAAATGCAAATTTATCGCCTGACGTTGAAAACAAAAGCGATCTTTCGCGATCAAGTCATTAGCTTGAAATCAAAAACCGCGCTCGCGCAAGATTTTGCAGCCACGAATCGAAGTTTGATCGTTGGTTCTCCGTGAACCAATTACTAGCATAACTCGCAGCAAGTAACATGTGTACATCTTGTGAATAACCAGCGTACCCGTGGTAGTAATCATAACAGCGTTTGATCGCGTTAAAAATGCGGTTCCTGTCAACATAATACGGTTTGTTCAACAGATATCGGGACACCAAACTAGCAAGTTGGGCGATGCTTGAGGGAGAATACCCATAGTTATATTCCGGGTCCCAGTCTTGATCAAATTCTTGCTCCTCTGACATTCTCACCTCCAACTGAAATTGTAATTCTCTCAGTTCCCGTTTGACCCGGCGCACATCCCCCTCTGATTCTCTCAAAGCTGTTTTAGTCTTGTTTAAATCCACTTCCAGCAGTGCAATCTGTTTTGTAAGGTTATCGATGGTGAGTTCTTCTTTCTGTGTCTTCTTGTGTTTTGCAACCAAATTTTTTATAATCTCACACTCTTCGTGATGGTCTGGTAACTCGAACCGTTTCACGCTTTTCCCACACGCGCCGCACTCAATCAACGCAAACTCGCACTCTTGTAAATGGGCTGGTAGTTTTTCCAGTTTTAAAACCATTTTACAACCGTGTTCATCATTATCACAGTGTACCGCCAGGCCCTCTACGACTCCTCTCAACGCCAACACGGGAATGACATCGTAAGGTGGAACGTCGGAGCGGCAGGAAGGACAAGTCGTTGTGTTGGGTCTGCTTAGCCATATATGCAAGCATTCATCACAGAACGAGTGCCCACAAGGTGTTATAACCGCTTCCTGTAAAACACCGGCGCAAATACTACAAAGCAGATTTTGATCCACGTGGTTCACAAATTTGTTTAGGCCGTAACCCATGGTCAAGTTACTTAAACTTGTGTTTACCTTAACTGCCGAGGGATTTCAAAATTTCGACGGCTTCAGTTTTCTAGATGTTGACGTCAAGAATAAGCGGCGCTGCCGTTGTGTTATTGCGTGTTCATCAGCTGAGAAAATATTGTTTTGTTAAAGTTGTACACGTCATTTGTCATCAACAACAAAAGATCTTGGATTTGCATAACGAAACACGAGCGCGCGAGTGATTTGATCATATTTCTTTTGCGCGCAAGCAAGCATAAATTTTCAACAATAACAGAAGATTTCAAAGCTTGTCGTTGTTCCATTCAATAGATTTGACGATCCATTTTTTCAATCGAATTTCTCAGTAGTTACGAATTTTAATCCTTCCTTTATGAAATCTGCTATTTTTTTCAGGTGATTAACATCTCGAGTTTTTTGTTTCGAATGTTTCCTTAATAATAGACCTGTTGCTTTTGTTTCGTAAACCCCCTACAGAAAAGTGTTACGATATTGATACCTAATGACAAATATCAAATCAAAGAAGGCAGGATATTTTAAATTAGGATTACTCAGAATATATTGTTGACTGGATGCTTTATTAGTTAACGTGAACATCGGATCTAAAGATCTGACCATGAGCGAGTCTTTCAATTTCCAATTTGCATCGGTGCCACATTATGCAAATTTTAGAATCAACCTGTTGAATCATTGTTTTCTAAAAAGGCAACCGTATTTTGGTTACATTTCCTCATCAAGGCCTCCCTTATCTCTCGAAAATTTTGCTAGGTTTTAACCAAAAATACGTATGGAAAACGGGATGAAACAGGTAAAATGGGTATTACAAGCAGTTTTGGAGTCTTTCGGTTATTACTCAAAACTAACTGAACGGCTTTCACTTTACTCCTGAGTGACTTCAAATAATGACACAACCTCGTTCCCACGGTCTCTCCTCTTCTCACCCAACATGGTGGAGACGAGCTGCCAGGACATTTTCGTTACACTTGCTATATATATGGTCTTTCCCTTTCTAGAGAGGCACTTCAGTCTTCCTGGCCGCGCAGTATTCATCTCTTTGACTCGTGCACTTTAACACAATCAGTTTCCTACCTAAAGAAATCAATTTTAATGCAACCGAAGGTGGCAGCAGTTATTTCAAACTATTCTGTAAATCGCTGGCAGCAGTTACGGTAAACATTCATATATATGATGTGGAAAATAAATATATTCAAAGTTTAAATGGCTCTCTTTTTTGATATCCCCTGGCCATATGCTATGGCAGGGTTCGATTGAAAATAAGCACTGTTCACGGTATATGTTGGTGCGCTAAAGGATTGTGAGGGATCTGCCTTACCCAGACCCCTTAGAGACCTCTCACGGCTAAGATTTCAGCGCTCGTGTAGCAGCAGTCAGGAGGGCTCCCTCACGGGCTATAGTTGATCGTTCAGTCTGACCTCTGGGTTAGTGTGGTCCTGACGTTTTAACGGCCTGAACATAAGTCATCATCAGGGTCGAGTTACTCTAATGACTTGACTCTAATGATTACTTCTGCTCAGCATACGTAGGTTTGTCTCTGTGCGACCAAAATTAGTCTTTTACAAAACTATTCTCTAAATGATCAAATGTTTTTTTTTTTGAGCCAAAAACTTGCTAAACATGGCGGGATGAATCAGTTCACTTTTAATAAGTAACATCAGAAAACTACGCATTTCTTTAAACTTATCATGTTTTGATATACTCGCCAGTGCATCGAGTTTTCTTTTTATTAACTGGGGCAGAGAAAAGCGCGCGAAGATTTCGAGTAGTCGGCGCAAATGTCATTGAATGAATGGCCAAGAGCGTCTTTGAACATACGCCTGTGTCACGTTTAGACAGCAGCCCAGCGAAAACCGGTGAAATCTATGAGAGATGATGTAACGCTCTTCTTTATTCAACCAGTGCAACGTTAAGCGTTGTACCAGTTGAAAGGCGCTGGTCAGCGAATTGATCAGTCATTCCATAGTGAGTGATTAATTAGTCGGTTACTGAGTGGGTTGATGTATAGTTTAGTGGTTAAGGGAGTGTGCTAAGTTGCTTAATTCATCGATTTCATGATAGTGTCACTGATTCATTGATTCATCATTTATTGCCTGATGACCTGAATTTTTCAAATCTAAATCATGTTTTATGTCAAAAAAAAAAAAACCCTGTTGGTTGAACGCTCTTTTCCTTCACCACAAGATCTCGGTATATGATTTTATCAGAATTTTACAATAATACAAGGCGGTGCTTTATCTCCAACATTCTCGCGGAGTGGGACAGTACCTGTAACTAT